ATTCTCGTCTGAAGCATAAAAACCCGCTCGCGATTTACCACTAACGCGTCCGTAACCCATTCGAAATATTTCACGAACGGGGAAGATTCAGATTGCGAGTAGGTAGAAGACGCAACAGTAGAGATATTGCTTCAAACGCGCCGCCTTCCGTTTCTCAAAAGCCCACAACTAAAAAGCTATCACCTCCAGAGAAAGTCCCACGCTTCCCGCTTGGCCAACAGATCTGCTCCAGCGCTAATTTGCCATGGAATCGCGGCCGCAAAGTCAGAGCAAACATTTAGAACCGGAAAGTGGGAGGCGGAGGGTCGCACCAGGGTCCTTTTTCGGGAGGGGGGGGGGTAAATTCGTACTGACATTTTACACACCACGATGCAGTAGCCTGCCAGCAGATAGCAGTTACTGTAAGTTGGCATGGACTCAGAGAGGTCATGGGTCCAACACTTCAGCTTTCTATTCTCGCAAATTCTCACTTTTTGAATGCAGTACCCTGCACAATCGCCTGCGGCACATTTAGGAGGTTACTGCCTTAGTTTGTCGCGAAGAGTGCCCTTGAGTTCCGTGTTCCGGAACTTATTTTAGTGCCATACACCCTACCTTTGGTGACAATGGCTATGCTTGCCATTTGGCCACATTATATGTGGGATGAAATGTGGATCTAGAAATTGAACTCTAGATTGCTGTATTTCATTAATGAGGAACCTACGAAAGCTCGTCGTGTGCAACAAGACTTCTAAAAGTATTTTTATTTTGGAAAAACAGACTCTGAATCTCACTCAACCTAACATTCTCGTACACAGTGGCTCAATAGGTAACCAATCCTGACGGGCTGTAAAACCGAATTTCGAATTTCATTCAACAACAAACTCAACAACGTATAACAATATCTATAACATGTACAATTTTAACATGCTTCAATAGCAAACTCAACAAGTAACAAGTACTTCTCAACACAGCTAGCTGAGCTTTTAGGCGCTCTGACAAAATGGTCGCCTATCTTAGAGAACTTTCAACAAGAAAAGTGTGGTATAACATGTGCAAAGAACGAAATAGAACAATTGGAACAATTCGGTGCCAAAACTAGGCTCTCGCAACTTTGGCGAAATCTGTGATTCCAAGGTGAATTTTAATGTTCATTGCGGCTAACTCCGCTGTCAAATACCGAAACACACGCGGTACCTGTAATGGTTAATTATAGTCAATATCAAACATTAAACGTCGAAACTTACCTGCACAAGATAGACTTCATCTTCTTTCCCACAATTTCTGCACA